TTTTTTTCTATCCTTTTTCTCTGTCTGCCCTTGACTACTTATTATCTTCTGCGTATACTTCGTGCGCTAAAATTTCCCAGTGAGAAACGCCTGGACTTGGTCCCTCTTACCTCAACCCCATCTTGGCAATTTGACCGGGAGAACCTGTGGCGGCTTCCTGGCGCTCACGGCGAGGAGGTTGTACGTTCCATCTATCTGGACGAACAGGTATGTGCCCCCTTGCCAACTCCTCCAGTCAAAAACTAACGACGCTGATCACAGTCCCAATCGGTATTTACCTGCGGTGAAGACGGGTTCGTCCGCGCATGGAAACCGGAGTCCGGAGAGGCGCAGGGCGATGATTCCTCAAACAAGACTGCGCGGCCGAAAAAGAATAAGGATAAGGGACGGTTCAAACCCTATTAAATTAGGCCTCGTCTGTTTCGTTACCACGCCCAGGGCATTGACCGCCACGATAGAATGTAAAATACGGGACCTCGGAAATACGTATGCTGTCATACTGTCCCGGCCTTCCCGTATGTTTCAAACCACTCGTCTTACAACCGTATTTCATCCACCCTTCTTCACAGGGCAGGGATCAGTACAGCCCTGACCTGCACCCCTCCAAGTCTGTCATCCGCAGGATCGGACTCCTGGTAGTACTGAGTATAATTTCAGCATTTACTACGAGCGGGATGGCCCGATATTCCACCCAACCCCTGCCCTATATCGAATCCCACATATATAGATAGATAGATATCAGATCTTTCTGCTGGACCGTCGCAATCTATTTAGTCCATACGCTGTATGCAAAGAATTCGCGCACGTACCATACACTGCATATCAGTACCTTAAAGAGGAAAATTTCATTCTCCATCTGACAGCCTGCCGTCTCCGAGGCTTGCAATTTCCAATGTTTACCAGCCCACATTTCTGAGTATGCGGTCAGAGCCGATGAACCACTTAGGCAGCAGAATTGAGTTCAATCAGCCGATGGTATGTCCACTACGATTGCTACGTTGGTTTGTGCTTGGTTTAGAGGCGTGGGGGCCGCGGGTTTAGGTACGTGAGTTGCTTTGGCGAATATATATCTGCGCGGAACAAAACTCCGAGGGGTAGCTTTGACCTTGTATCACACTACTTACGCTGTAGCTTTCACGGTGGGTCGTAATATACTAGTAGAATTCTTGAATGTAAACAATGCAAATGATTTACCTTACACGTGAGTAAAGTGAGGTTAAAGAAAAGAAAAGGAAAAGAAAGGGTAACTGAACAGAGTTAACCATAAAGCTTGTGACATACATAAGTAGATGAACAAAATAATGCCCACATGTTCCAAACGACAAACAGATAAAAAAGAGTAGTCGCGCCCGGGATCGAACCGGGAACCTTCTCAGTAAACAACTGAATGTGAATGAGAAATCATAACCATTAGACCACGCAACTGCGTTTCTTGAAAAATGTGAGAGAAATATGTCTGACCTAGACATACGAGCCATGAGATACTTCCGTTCTTATCTCCTGCGGAGGAGTTTTTTTTTTCTTGTTCTTAAGAGTCTTTCGTTTCTCTTTTCTTCTGGTGGTCGTCTTCACCACCCCCTTTCCGTTTTATCACTCTCTGTTCTTTTTTATTACGGTATATTTTGCATTAAATTTATATCGTGACTCGGGTTATGTCCCCATAGTCCACTATCCTGTCGTTCTCTCAAACCAGCGCCTTAGTATACCTGAAAAATCATATGCGCCCCATCGTATCAGGAACAAAACTATATCCACACCACCACGAACCCTCTATATAAACTACACCACACTCACCAATTACCCAAACTCCAAACCCCACTATCGATCCCCATACCGCAAAAAAAGAAAACTAAAGAATAATGGACGCACAAGCCTACCTAATCCGTCACGGCTGGTCGGGCCCAGGCAACCCACTCAACCCCAACCGCCGACCAGGCACACACTCCGGCCTCGGTCTCACGAAACCGATCCTCGTCTCCCGACGCAAAGGCAACCTCGGCGTTGGCCAGACGACAACTAAAGACCCGACGAACCAGTGGTGGTTGCGCGGATTCGAGGATGCGCTGAAGGGTGTTGGGGATGAGAATAATGCTGGGGCCGAGAAGAAGCCGAATGCGTTGACTAGTGAGCTTTATCGATATTTTGTGAGGGGGGAGGTTGTTCCGGGGACGCTTGGGTCGAAGGAGGAAGAGAAGAAGAAGAAGGAGCAGGGCTCCGAGTCTAAGGCTAAGGTTGAATCCAAAAAGAGGAAGAAGGATGATGTGGATGGAGAGGAGGACCGGGAGGCTAAGAAATTGAGGAAGGAGGAGCGTAAGAGGAAGAAGATGAGCCGGGTTGAGGAGGGGGAGGATTCTGCTGTGTCGCGCAGTGATCGGTATTCTAAGGATCGCAAAGAAAGCAAGGAGGAGAGGCGCCAACGGAAGGAAGAGAAGAGAAGGAAGAAGGAAGCGAAGGAATTGAAGAAGAAGCTGAAGAAGGCTAAAGAAGCAGAGGACGGTACTACTGATGAGAATGAAAAGGCTACACGCAAGAGCAAGAAGGCGAAGGAAGGACATAACCCAGAAGAGGACTACCCTACCCCGATGTCGATCGAGAACGATCAGACAGAGTCTAGTGGACGTGAGGAGCCCTCTGACTCGATAGAGAAATCGAAGAAGAAGAAAGAGAAAAAGGAAAAGAAGGAGAAAGAGAAGGATAAGGAAAGCGAAAAGAAGAAGAAGAGCGAAGAATCAACACCCGAAGACGGCTCGAACTCAAAATCGAAGAAGTCCAAGGATGTCAAAAAGTCGAGCAAGGAGTGAGCTGATTGAAGGTAGATTTGCTTTTTTTTTAGGATATCATTTTTTTGCCTACGGCCGTACATAGATAGATACCCATTTGCTACAGCTACTGCGGTCTTTATGAAGATTATATTATATATCGTGTCATGTCTGAATTTGATATCCTTTTAACCATAAATCGTAACTTAAGCCTCCGTGGGCAATTTGCCCGGCTTTCCTGATATAATCCACGGCCTCCGCTCCCAGAATTCGTCTTTGATGATATCGACATGGTCAACGACAACCTGTGCCTTTCGGCGCAATTTACGAAGCTTGTCCTGTTGTGATCTGGAAATCTTCGCTTCTTGGACATAGTTTCCTTCCTCCTCTGCCAGCGCTCCTGACGTAGGCTCTGACTTTGGCTTGATGTCCTCTAGTTGATACTGCAAACTGTATCAGTGGACCGGTTTCTGATATACAAAACGTCGACCAACTTACTTGACGATAAAGCACACTTCCCTTCTTGTATATCTCTTCCTCATTGTTGTAATTAATCCCGAATCTCTTGAAGAGAATTTCATTCTTGTCCGATGATACTGTTCCCTACGGTTGGAGCCAAACATTAGGTCCCTGAAGAGAAGAAAGATAGCATGAACTTCTCACCTTCAACTCTTGTTCTGCATCCGTGTTACTCATGCCACCTTGCAGGACCATGGTCCAGAAAGTTGTGTTATAAAGGTTATTGATATGGCCTTCAAGCAGGGATGTAAGCTAAATTTTCATAAATGAGGAGCATGCGGCAAACTCACAATCCACCTGCCTCCAGCTCATATAGTCACGCAAGTTCCTAGTAGCGGGATACATGACAGCTCTTCCGTCAAACGAAGGCAAATATGGAGTCTGAAGAGGGCTATCGGGGAAGTATGTCCCCCACAGGTATACATAATGAGCTGTGAATGTGGATACGATAGTTGTTACAAGCTTGCTGTTATCATGTCAGTCTAAAGCTTAATTGGCTGGGAAGGTTGCGTAACTTACGCACTGCGCCGCTCGAATAACTGGCAGCTTGGATGGAAGACGAAGCTGATATAAATTAGTATCGTTCTATGTAGAGTGCGGCATGGGCCAGGGGACAGACCTGAACTCGTCGCTGACACCATATGCAATGCACAGATCAGAAAGATCTTTCATTACCTCAACGGCCGCGGCATTCATCAGATCGAGCGCGCGGCGGTCGTTCGGTTTTTTGAAGTTATAACGGTCGGTAAGTCTAAAGGTAGTTTAGTAACGGAGTATATGAGTGCGACCCATGACAAAAGATATCAGAATCAAAACTCAGAGGGGGATTTGCAGAGAGATAAAGGCAAACACAGTCTGTAGATTTTCTTTTTTTTTTTTTCTTTCTTATGGGGAAGAAATGGGGGGAGAACAGCTACTAACTTGTGGAAACCTCTGCCATCGATGCGGACTACAATCCAGGTATTGGGGAGTAACACGTCTGGTTGCTCGAAAGCTTTGACGTACTCATACCTGTTATTTAAGATTAGCGATGTTCTATTGATGAAAAATAATAAAGGACCCAGGTAAAGGGCATACTTTGAGTTCGCCATTTATCTGGATTTACTATAAAACTGCTTGTATGAATAATTTGGGATGGAGTAGAGAAAACTTAAAGGCACCATGAATGAAGTTGTGCGGAAGCCATTTTAACCGACGGGTATGAGTGGCACCCAACCCCAGATTCAAGACTACATACAGTACTGAGTATATATATAAGCATCCTTATACAATAGCTTTCTTTACTCACGCCGAGTTTCGCAAAGTCTTTACTTTATTGTGCTAAGTGCTAAGATTGGTAACTCAAGGTATGTTGATGGAAAGAAATGTAAGAATTTGAACGACTGAAATAAATATAAGATGAGACAACCGGGCATCATGAATGCACCATCCAAGAAAGATTAATATCCTATGTTTTATATCTAAAGAAATCGTGCAACGACGGTGTGAAGACTGTCAATCGGCGGAACCCCACACTCTCAATAACCAGTAATCCATAAGATTACTAAGGGAAAGAAGTAGTAGTATCATCATGTATGGACATCCTCTGAATGTTCCTCGCCGCCTGTTTCGCTGGCTTGTTCACTGGGTCGTTCACTTGTTTCACTGGCCGCCTTATCCGTCTTCTTAGACTTGCGACTGAAGAATCCTAGGCTGCTTCTGGTCGACCTGTCCGCGGATGGAGCGCTGGAGACAGTGCTGTCCACGCTCTTTGCAAGCAGTGACTCACCATTGCCGTCTTCTTCGATATCACCTTGGGAGGTATCGCCCTTCTTGGAGAACAGGCCTGAGCGGTCTTTCCACGAGCTAAACTTACCCGAGCTACCCTTCCGCGTGATCTTCCGGATGAACGACTCTTTCGAGCTACTGTTATCCGCAGAAGCCCCGGAATGTATCTGTTCGAGAGACTCGTACGAATCCCCAGTAAAGGCAGTCAGTGAGCGGGAATAAGATTCCTTCGAGGTACGAGGCTCAGACGGAGATCCATCCTCCATGAGAAACTCAAAAGATGTATCGGCTCCATTGTCTATCACCATTTCCCCATCCTTGTCCTTACCCTTCTCCGAACTCCTGCTAAAAACGGTTTTGAAAGTGGGCGCAGTAGGGTTCAGTTTCGGAGTTATGGGACGATGCGAAGATGATGGTCTCGTACCAATGGGTGCCTGCAAGGGTCGACCCTGTCTTTCAAAAGAAGAGTCTTCAAGGAAATCCGGCTCCCCTGTGAGTCCCAAAGGCAAGTGACCGGAGGAGCCATACGAGGTGGACTGACGGCGTGAATGGGCTCTTGACCAAGTCGATGGTGAAGCCCAGCTGAATCCCAGAGGGCTTCTATGGCCCGGTTTCTCTGCCGACGGCCAGCCGAAATGTTGATTGTCTGTGGATGGATGGGGAAGTTGATTCTCAAAGGAAAACGTCGACGATGGCCTTGGTGACAACGAGCCCCGTCGTACAGTACCGAGAATTGACGAGGGGTCGATCGGATCATGTCTAGGACTGAATTGATTATATCCAGTACTGAGATCAGAATGTTCGCCGGACTTTATCAGACTGCTCCCACTGCCGAATCCAAACCTGCTGGGGGAGAAAATGCTGGTCAAAGCGGCCCGCCGGGACGGCATATGATCGGAAGAACTATCGGTGGTGACACCTGTGGTGTTGCTCCTTGGGAACAATGACATTGGATTGGCCCAGTTTCCTGTATAGCTCAGGCGGCGGCGCCTGGCACCGATGGGATCCATTTCATCCAGATTTCGTGGAAAAGACTGACTTTGTCCTGGCTTCAAAGTGCCTAGTAAAGGCGGTTCATCAGCGAGCGTTTTACCGCGAGGACGATGGAAGCCGAATAGACCAGAGAGTCGCCGCGAGGCACTTTTCGGAGCCTCTGCGGCATCCCCTAGGCGTATAGGCTGCGAGTCAGCCTCCTGGTTCTGATTCTCATGAGGACTAGCAAAGATGCTTCCAGGCCGGCTCTCGGAAGAGTCCGGCGATGGCGGACCTTGTGGGAAACCTTCAAGTTGGCCACTCGACTGTTCAATATCAGACATTTGAGGGCGGACGATTGGCCGTGGAAGCTCTGGTGACTCCTCATCTCCAAGGAGATCGGACGGAAGCAACGCGTCAGCCCGGGGGCTCATTTGAGGATTGCTGAACGAGAGTTCGGAAATGGCATCGGCGGCCTGACTTGACAGACCCGGAATGGTCATTCCGTTGTTAATATTGAAGAAGGCGGAGCTGGGCCCAAAGGTAGGCGAGCTTGTGGAAGGGGGGTTGTAACTGATACCACCCGAGAACGAAGGTTCCATAGCCGTATAATTCATAGGGGACGAAACATTGCTGGTCAGAGAGCTGCGATGACGACGTGGGCGGATAGTCGCTGTGTTGGACAGGTCCAGATCTAGGGCGGGCAGAGAGAAAGGCCCTGTGCTTCCAGGTCCTTGCGTTGTCAGCCACTTCAGACGCTCTTGGGCCTCTTGATATTGTTGTTGAGCCTTCGCACAAGTCAGTATCTGCCTCAAATATTGGCCTTTGTGAGTCACAAACCTGAGCATGGATATTCACTAGGGTAGCATATCGGGCGTGTAGGTTGCTTAGCTTGATCTCCCACTGCCGAGCACGCTCGTTGTCAATTCGATCTAACTCTTTGCCGTCTTCACCATCTGGACCTTGATGCCCCTGCCTTTCTTCTTCAAGTTTCTTGACCCGTCCCCCCTTGTCCTGTATCTCATCGTCGATAACCTTCATTTCCGCTTGCTCTTTTGCGATCTTCTCCCGTACCTCATCCGCACGCTTTTTCCCATCCTCTTCTATACGTGTCTTCTCCTCCCTTGCCTGCGCAGCATCGGCTGTCATTCGTGATATCCGTTCCCGCCATCGCACAATGTCATCCTTGCGCTTCTTGCGCTCGGATTCCTTCTGTTGCAGAAGCCTCTCACGCTTCGCTTTCTCGCTTTGCACCGTGCGATTGACGCTTTCCAACTTGTAAACGTGTTTCTTTAGATCGCCGCTAGCTTCATCCTTCTCCTTTACTCGCTTCCTCAAGTCATCACGCTGCTTCTCCAACTCCTTCAAGAGCGCGATATGCTCTTCTTCTTCATCGACGGTTTGCTTCTCAACATTCTCGTTTTCCTGCTGCAATGACTTTAACCTATCGGCGAGTTTCTCGAGCGTTTCGTCACGATCCCCATTTGTCGTACTCTTCTGCAAGTCTTCTATGTTGCCGTGAGAGGATTCCGGCCCGCTAGCGGCAGGAGATTGCTTTCGACCAGCTGAAGATCGTTTCGTAGGAAGTTGCCCTCCACTGTGCTCGCGAGACATGACAGGAGCCGAGGGAGCTGCGAGACCGGCAGTCGATCGCGGGACTGACGCCCGAATAGTGGGACCCCCAACAGGCGCATTTTGCTGAGCTTGGGACAAAGGAAGAGATTGCGTTCGTACATGGATAATAGCACTGGGCGTCTGGAAGTTGGCTGCACTGACGGAAAGAACGCAGATATGATATATGTTGCCTGGTGCCAGATTTAAGATTTCCACCGCGGTTTCCGCTCGTTTTGATTCGCCCACTAAGAATGACCGTCAGCCCTTGCTGAGATTCTGACGGCGCCAAGAGCAGGTGAAAGAGAATTATTTACCTTTTGACCCATTCACCTGAATGATGTGCTTATGGATAGAGTTGTGAAACTCTGGTTGTTTCCAAGCAATGCGAATCTCACGGGGGGAAATCTGCTCTAGTGTAACCTCTGGTGGAGGAGGGATGTCCAATCCGAGTTTTTCCACTAGGACATCATTCGGGGTCTGACAGACTTGCCATGCGCGATACAATAACCTTTGGCCAGTGCCATTAGATAGGGAACGGTGTTGGATATCGAAGCTGAAGGAACGTACCAAATCAAGGCCCAAAGAATGGTGACGGCCAAGAAGAGAGCCATGACGCCTCGTACCCTTACTCGAGGGACCACGCTAGGGTAGGCGTCAAAAGAGAGATGCAGCGGTTCATACATCCCAGCGTCGGATACCCATGGAGACGGGTATGACAGAAGAGGGGAAACAGACAGATTGGCGAGAGAAGCCAGCCTCTTCGAAATCCACTTTTTTTCGGGGCAGTAGTCAAATACGGTCGGCAACTAAAGGTTGTATCTCCAACAAGAGTATCCGCGGAAGCAGTCATGTGGGGCACTGTCATGTGATCCACTCGGACGTGGAAATCTTAAGTCACCTGCAGACCCTGACTAAGCCGATCATGACAGTAACCCCATCCAGTAATGCCTGCTGGATGCGGGTTAGCGCCACGCTCGTCCGGCTCATGCCGAGGAACTGTAAAGGCAAGAAGCCCGTGACCTTGGCTTGCTCGTTGGGCCGTTGAGGGACTCCCAACAGCCAACATCTAGATCTTTCACAACCTGGCTCCAATTTTTTTACTAATTGACTGACTTGTCCCTCTCTCCGACTGCCACATTGCGTTCGCTTCACTTATGAGGGGTACTGTTTCATATTTGGTTTGCTTTAGCAACAGTCGTTCTATACAGCGGTTACATTCGTTCATGCCTCTGGGGCTTTGTCACATGGGCCGTATGTAGGCGGCAATTCCTGCGACCATCCGATTCCTTCTAGCACCCCCTCCATCACTGTTTTTGCATTCTTTTTTCGTTTCCGCGTTTTACTCGATCGTTCACCTTTTCTTCACGGATCGTTGAAATTATCGAGGGGTCTTCCCCATCCAACGTTGCAGGATGCAGTACGTGCGCAGTATCAGTGGCTCCGTCTCCAAGACGTGGAATTCTATCAATCCAGCCACCTTGAGCGGGGCCATTGATGTGATCGTCATAGAACAAGAAGATGGTTCGTTTACTTGGGCACCATTTGATTTAATCCCATTATCGCTAAATGGTCGAATCTAGGCACGCTCGCATGTTCTCCTTTTCACGTCCGCTTTGGCAAGTTCTCGTTGCTCCGTCCTTATGAAAAGAAGGTATGATACATCTATCACGGATTCAACGGATCCTCATCTGACTGCGCTTTTTGAAGGTGGAGTTCAAAGTCAATGGGATCAAGCAAAATTACTCCATGAAGCTAGGGGAGGGCGGGGAGGCTTTTTTTGTGTTTGAGACGTCAGATGAAATCCCCGCTTCCTTACAGACCTCGCCATTAGTGTCGCCCACGGGCAGCCCGAGAACCCGTAGCGAAGAAAATCTCCCGGGCTCTCTCCAAGAACCCGATTATCTGGATCTAGATCGATCGTCTTCCAATGGAAATGCCAATGAGCCGAAAAGTCTTCCCATACTGTCAAGGAGCATGCGGGCATCCAGTGATTTAGGTGCGCCAAAGTATATTGCTCTCATGATGGGTTCGAGCTAACATTTTTGGGATATAGGAACAATGACACCGTTGTCAGGGTCGCCAGGTGACTCCAGTACGAGCAGGTCTCGTCAGGGCTCGTTCGGGGATGACCCGGAGCCGGGGAAACTGGACCGTGCGGTTTCAGATGACGTTCTGCTGAGCCAAACGCACCCGAGTGTGGCAGACCATGCTTATGGGTCGCACGCAGCAGGGTCGGCCGATGGTTCTGATCTGGGCCGTTCTCGAAGCCCACCTCCCTTGTCTCTGGAAGAGGCTGTTTCGCGTGCAACAGCGCTGTCGAAGAAGCTCTCTGGATCAAATATCCGTTCGCATGTGACCGAGACGGGTGATCTTATGCTTGACATGACTGGCTATAAAAGCAATGAGGAGGACGCCCTCCGTGCTGAGGTCATTGCGCGTAAGATTCTATCTGAGGAGCTGGAAGGGTGTTACGACATTGGTGCCCTTATAGGGGCCGACGAGCACGGAAACCTGTGGATCTATAGCAGTGAGGAAGCAAAGGAAGCCGCTAACCGTCAGGCCGCGTTTAGCTCAATGAGGCCTGGCTCTGCAATGAGTGACAATGCTATCTCCGACCCCGGGTATCATAGTGACGGCGATAAGTCTGTTCGTGACTCGCCCATACAGACCCGCCACCATCGGACCCAATCTGATATTCAGCCGGGTATCCCTACCCCTCCGCAGTCACCGACACCTGGAGAAACAACTCGCAACTACGCGAAGACTTTACGCCTGACAAGCGACCAGCTTAAGGCTTTGAACTTGAAGCCAGGCGCCAATGATATGTCATTCAGCGTCAACAGAGCCACTTGTACGGCGACCATGTATCTGTGGAACGGAAACACACCGATTGTCATATCGGATATTGATGGTACCATTACGAAGTGAGTTACCACGAGGCAGACTGACTATCATCGCCCATCTTTGGCTAATATAACTGGTAGATCCGACGCTTTGGGCCATGTTTTGAATATGATTGGCCGCGATTGGACACACGCTGGAGTAGCCAAGCTATACACAGATATCGTCAACAACGGCTACAATATTATGTACCTTACTAGTCGATCTGTTGGCCAGGCAGATACTACTCGCGCATACATCTACGGTGTTAACCAGGACGGATACAGACTGCCCAAAGGCCCCGTTATCACGAGCCCGGACCGGATGATTGCAGCCCTCAGGCGAGAGATTTACCTGAGGAAACCAGAAGTGTTTAAGATGGCATGTCTTCGGGACATTCTGAACCTCTTCAATGGAAAAGAGAACCCCTTCTATGCTGGATTCGGCAATCGATTGACCGACGCCTTGAGTTACCGATCTGTCAATATCCCGTCTACTAGGATCTTCACGATCAACTCGAATGCCGAGGTCTCTCTCGATCTTCTTAGTCTGAACAAGTATAAGAGCAGCTATGTTACTATGCAGGAGCTCTTGGACCATTTCTTCCCGCCCGTCAGTCTACTTGTTCAGGCTGGGGGTGAAGAGTACACTGATTTTACTTACTGGCGTGAACCTCCACCAGAGCTAGCCGATTTCTCAAGCTCAGATAGTGAGGATGACGAAGACGAAGAGGACGAAGATGACGAAGACGAAGATGAAGATGATTATGATGCGGAGCTGAGTGATGAAGAAGGCAGCGAGGTTGATGAGGATGCCGAGGAAGACCTTGGTAACAGCTATATCTCACAGGCCTCACTGGATCTTGCCGATAGTCAGAGTCACCTAGAAGATGATGAGGCGGACGACGAAGGCGCAGACGACGGGCCTAACGTGACCCCAAAACCAAGTCGCTTCGCGACTACTGGTGCTAGCCCCTCTCCCAAACGCTGAGAATGGCCAGGCCTCCATACAACAAGTGTAATAACTATACGCGGCTTTCAACGCTCATAGATACCCTTCCCGGCGTTGACTATTGTGTTTATATGCCTTTCTGGCAACCGAGATTGGCCCTTGCATCGTGTGGTGTTACTTCTTTCTTACTGCATAGTTGGCGTTTAACAGGCTGCATTGGTGATTTTCCTGTTTCATTTCATATGCTGAGCGTTTCCAGGTTTCATGTGTGATATACAAGCAGCAGGACAGCCTGCGGTTTTCCATGGCCGCTGCATGGTTGCACCCGGAGATAGACTCTTAGACTATATACATATATATACATATATACATAATTTTGTCTTGCGTGAATTAAAGTGTAAGATGGATAAGAGAGTAAGAGAATTTGGAGAAGCTATGCATTGAGAGAGGGTTTATAAGGAAATCAGTAGGTCACCACTGACTTACCAGAAGCGGGCTAGCGCCGATCGGGATGATTGACCTTCAATGTTCTTCGCGTCTTCACCACCAGCTCACTCGCTGACCGCAACACCACTTTACCTTCTATTCAGTCTTTTCTCGAGAAGAACATAGAATAATCATACCTTCATAATATCCCACCACAGTACCGACGTATAGTGGCCATGCCGACTTGGCCATAAGTGACGGCGTCCACGATCACTAAATTCCACCGCAGACAGCTAACCAAGCAACCTTCGCTCACATCCAACCTGGCTCTCATAACCACCTGAAACACACAAGACAATGGCATCCCCAATCCAATCGCAAACCGTCGCCCCATCCACCCAACCCCTCACACCCCCCGCCGAACCCTCCAACACCACCACCAATGCCTCCTCCCAACAACAGCCCGCAGCCGGATCCACCACCACCACCACCGCACCAGTCGCACAACCCACACAAGTCCCCTCCACCTCCCTAAAAGACAGCGGCAAGTCCCGCCGCCCCCGAGATGTCCGTCTCATCCACATGCTCCTCTCCTCCTTAGGCGTCACTGCGTACCAGGAACGAGTGCCCCTTCAGCTCCTCGACTTCGCCTACCGCTACACCTCCGGCGTCCTGCAGGACGCGGTCCATCTCGCGACGGAGGGCTACGCCGGCGCTGCGGGCGAGCAGGCCGGCTCGTCGAGGGGTCCGCCGGAGGTGAATACCGTCAGCTTGCCGGCGTTGCGGCTTAGTATTGCCTCGCGGCTGCATTATCAGTTTCAGACGGGGTTGCCGAAGGAGTTTCTGATGGATGTTGCGGCGGAGAGGAATCGCGTTGCCCTGCCGGGTGCTACGAGGGGGTTTGATCAGGGCCAGGCGAAGCCGGCGGCGAATCAGAGTGTCCTTATGGGGGGTATGAGATTACCGCCGGAGAGGTTCTGTTTGACGGGTGTTGGGTGGAACATGAAGGATGAGTGGGAGAGTGAAGGGGAGGAAGAGGTAGAGGAAGAGGAGGAGGAGGAGGAGGAGCCGAAGGAGAGTAATCCTGCTGGTGCGGGTGGTGAGGAGGAGGAGGGAGATGGAGGTGAGGATGATGAAGATGGGAAAATGGAGGATATCTTCGGGGAGGATGCTGTTATGGGGGATGGAGATGATGATGGAGACAAAGACATGACGGATGTCTAAATCGGTTCTTTCTTCCTCTTCTTGCTCTCGAAAAAAAGAAAAATATATGGATGGGCCTGGCGATTGGGAGTTCGGCGCTCGGTGAAACTTATATACTGTTTATACTATCAGCCAGACAACCGATCTGATGGAGGAGATTTGCTTTCATTGAGTCTGTAGGATATCAACAGACTTGATCTACTGTACATAATGATATACGACTTGGCAATCCTAATGCAACAGAAACTGGCAAAAAAAAA